GCAAGGTGTTGCTGGACAGGTGAATGTCTCTGAAAGCGCTCAAGTTCTTCCTGGGCAAGAAGTGGCTGGACAGGAGACGGTGCCGGAAGGAGCAGTACAAATTTCTGGCGAGGAGACTGACCAAAAAGAAGGAGAAGGTAGGAGCAATGAACTCCGTGGTGATGGTGCGAAGATATTGAATGTTTGTCCGGTGAAGAATGACCTTCAGCAATTGCTGGTTAAAGGCCTTCTGACTCGGATTTATTGGAAGGTTGCTGTTGGCAAGTTGCCTGTGGGGCAAAGAGACTGCCAAAAGGGGTCCAATAAGATGGATCGAAATTTGGTTATTAGCATGTCATCCGAGGGTGCAAGCGAACAGGATGAGAACCTGGCACTGGAGGACGATGCTGATCAGTCAATGGGTGACGGTGCGATGGTGGTTATGGTGTATGATCCAAGAACGCTGATTCAGTCGCCAACAACTGATTGGGTTATGCGTCGCGGTCTGACCGATCGTTCCGTCTGGCCAGCAATGGCGTACATGGCACAGAGGATATGTGCTGAAATGGTTCAAGTGGATGAAATGAATGCCCAGCTAGGGACTGGAGCACTCCTTTTTCAAAGGAGAGATCAAGGACATTATTGTGACCTGCATCATTCGTTCCACGACAACCCGTGCTTGCCGGCGGTGGGAAATTATCCTCTTTCGGTGATGGGTGCATTGTTGTCTCCTGGTCTGGAAGGGGAATTCAAAAATACTGACAAGTTTGGAACTGCTATGGAGGCAATTGCCTATGATTGGAGTCGCAGTCCAGGCATGGAAGTTCACATTGAACTTATGGCGAGGGTAGCCAAATTGGTTCACCCATTCCTGAATCTTGGAGCCCAGGGGTCGGTGATGGTTTCGGAATTTCTCTGGCAGCGCGGGAGGGCCCGGTTGATGGAGTTCCTTCAAGCGGCGACTTGTGCGGACCAATTGGAGGCTCTCTGGAAAAGGATGGACGACGATGCAGATGAAGAGGTGGATCCTTCGACAGCGGTGCTGGAAGTTCTTGGACCAGAGGATGCGGTACTTGATCAAGGGAACAATGAATCCCTTATTCCCATTGAAGATGCTGGAGGTGAGACAAGTGGTGACACTGGAGGGGATGGCAAAGCGCCAGAAGTCTCTCCGGAAGAGGAGACATCCAGTGGGTCATCAAGACTGGCGGACACAAGGATTTTCTTGTGGTCAGTGTACTCCCGCGTGGCTTCTAATTTCTCTATGCAGGACCGCACTACTGGTAAGATCTTTGACAGCACAAAAGGGTATCCTGGTGAAGGACCAAGCAATGATGACAATCCTTCCTCTAAGAGGAACTTACCCTGGATCTCGGAAGACTACCTCGACGAAGTGGTGTCAAAAAAGATGGAAAGGTCTTCAGATATGGATGGGTTTGTTCCGGGAAGTGAGGGACCATTGGAAAAGGTAGAGGTGGAGAATGTTACTGCCTCTAAAATTCTTATGGCTCTTTGGAAGAAGGGATATAGAGCTGGGTATAGGAGGTTGTGTCGTTGGAGCGCATCTGGATGCAAGGTTGGAGCAATGAAACGTCCAATCAAAAGGGTGCAGAAGATTGGCACTAGAAAGGCCTTCACGAAGATGTTCAATGTTTTTGGATCGTCTCAGCATGGCTCAGGAGTTGGCGGAAAACCAATCATGAAGGTGGTAGGACCAAGGCCAGGTTTTCCAGCTGTACTCCAAGCACCAAATACTGATAGCACGTCGGGTGAAGGGAGCAGTCCCCAGGTACATGGCAATGTTCATGTAGAGCACAATCGCCCTATGGACCGGTACGAGGCAGAGCGCTTGGAGAAGAGGAAGAAGGGCTTCTGCTATTGGTTCGGCAAGGGGAAAGATCGCTGCAAATTTGGTGAAGACTGCAAATTCATCCATTCAGAAGATGATGTGGTGCTACATTCGTATTGGTGCAAATACTATGTGGCAGGGAGAGACTGTTTCGCTGGAAAGGATTGTGAGTTCTCGCATGATGCAACTGGTGTGAGGTGCATCCAGTTTGCTCGGTCTGGGAAGTGTCGTTTTGGTGACAGGTGTGTCTTCGAGCATGGTGATCCGCTGGAGGAACAGAGGCCAAGGTCTCCAAGGACGCCCCCAAGGGATGGTCCAAGGAGAAGTTCTGGCGCAAATGGTGGTGAAAAGGAGATCTCTCCTGAACAGTTCGATGATGGTGAGGAGGATTTTATGGTTTATGACGAAGATACCAAGATGACGGAACTGTTAATGGAGGCGATTTCATTTCTGTCCGATGGCAAGCCAGATTTGGCTCGAGCAGAGGCGGACCCATTGTTCAAACTCCTGAAGTTCAATGGAGATACTGACCAAATGGATCAAGAATGGGTTTCGTGGACCACTGGTATGTTGACCGTGCTGGAACTTCTCGAAGTAGTGAAGTCGTATGAGGTTTCGCTCGCGGAGGTGGAAGAATGGGTCAATGACCTGAGGATATGGTATGAGCGAGCCAATTTGGGAGAAGAAAAGGATTCCAAAAGAGGCAAAAAGAGGTCCCTAGAAAGGGAGTCCAGCAAGGATATTCCTGCCGAAAAAGAAGTGGTTGAGACTTCGGAGACGGAGGTTGCCGTTGAAGAAGAGAAGAAAAAGGAAAAAAAGAAGAGGAAAGCTGCAGCTATCGAAGATCCTTACACTCTCATGGTTCCAAAGCCGAAGAAGATGCCGACGATCATTGAGAAGGGTGGATCATCATCCAATGTGGTGGTTTCTGCAGTGGAAAAAGCCTCGAAAACGCGCACAAAGTCAAATGTCGGTGGAAAGACAAAGAAGAAGGAGAAAAGTCAGAGTCCCAAAAAGGAAGAGGTGGTAATGGTGCAAGATCCTGAGGAAAAGGATCGTCCATCTGATGCGGATGCACCAGTGTCTACCACTGTGAATGCAGAGCTGGGTCAATCTTGCCAAGCGATTGAGGACGCAAAGAGAGAAGGATTGGTATCCTCAATTCAAAGGTGCGTACAGGATCCTGTGCTTACAGTTTCGGACCTGGAGTATATTCTGCTGCAACTTCACCTCAAGATTGCCAACAATCGGAAAAAGAAGTGATTGGATGGTATGGATGAAGGGATGGTTTTTCTCTTTCTGGAGACAGGTGCGCTGGAACAGCCAATGTGCTGACAATGTGGTGGTTACTATTAAGGGTATGGAAATCCCTGATAGTAGAAGTCAGTAGCTTTTCGCGTAGCGAAGACCACGGTTTGTGGTGAAGAAGGCCAAGGAGTCTTCAGTGATGAGAGGATCATGGTGAAAAGAGATTCTCTGTGGTTAGTGGGTTTAGCCAATGTGCTATAATTTCGTCCTGGATGACGTAAAACCATATTGTGCATTTCAAGCAGCTGGCTGCTGCCTTAATGGCAGTTTTTGGCCAAAATATCTGCACCTCCAAGGTGTCCTAGGAAATCCTAGGACAGGGGGAGTGCGGAGCTGCAACTGGTATTGTAGAAAAGAGTTAGTGTTGGGGGTTGGAAGGGTCAATGAACCCGGAAATCTTGTTTGGCTCAAGATGGCCCAGAGCCGTCCGCTTTTCGTTGAAAAGGTTGTGTCCGTGTGTTGGGTGTTGGGTCTTGTGGGAGGTAGTAGTCCCGACCCTTCTCCCTTTGCCTTTCCCTCTGGGGTGGGATTCTTCTCTTACTGGTTCGATCTGGGAAATCCATATAGGCAACTGTTAAGGGTTGGTTTCTTTCCCTTTTCCCCTTCGGTTGCCCCCGTATAGGGTTTAGGGTTTAGGGTTTCGGGTTTCGGGTTTCGGGTTTCGGGTTTCGGGTTTCGGGTTTCGGGTTTCGGGTTTAGGGCCTAGGGTCGTTCAGGGTTTAGGGTTGTTAAGGGTTTAGGGTTGTTGGGGTTTAGGGTTGCGTGGCTTTGTGGGACAACTTGTGCTTTGCAGAAACAGCAGTGATCATCGTAGTCACAGTCATGAATGGCAGTGTACTCCGAACAAATCGAACTTCATATTGCTAGGACCTAACCCTAAACCCTAAACCCTAAACCCTAAACCCTAAACCCTAAACCCTAAACCCTAAACCCTAAACCCTAAACCCTAAAAAGGGCGGGGTGGTGGGGGGGACTGAGAGAACTTCGGTCTCAGCTGCGAGGGCCGTGAAGACGTCCATTGCTTGGAGCATCGTGGCTCGCCCGTCCATGTTGAGACCCAGATCCTCTTATAAGGGGGGTTTAGGGTTTAGGGTTTAGGGTTTAGGGTTTGGGGTTTGGGGTTTGGGGTTTGGGGTTTAGAGGTTGAGAGATTTAGGGGTTTAGGGTTTCGGGTTGAGAGATTTAGGGGTCTAGGGTTTGGGGTTTGGGTTGAGATGGGTGTAGCCTTTAGGGGGGCTTCTGCTTGAAGAAAACTTGGGCCTTCGTTTGAGGTCTAGAGGTCATGGGCCGACAAGGCCTAAATTTTTGGGTACCTTTGGGGGGCCTTTTGGGACCTTTGGGGATGATAGGAGACCTGGAAGATCTTTGGAGAATTTTGGGGAAAATTTTGGGGAAGATTTTGGGGGAAAAATTGGGGAAGATTTTGCTGACCTTTGAGGTTGCTAGGGGTAGGCCCTGCTTTGCGTCGCGCACACGCGCACGCGCATAAGAAACGCAAGAAGAACAGGAACCACCCAAGAGTACCAACGAGACTACGAAACTATGTCACGTCTCGAGCAGCTCTCCTCGGCCAGCTCCAGGCCACGGTACTGTGCCTGGGGTATCTTGTTGGGTTTAGGGTTTAGGGTTTAGGGTTTAGGGTTTAGGGTTTAGGGTTTAGGGTTTAGGGTTTAGGGTTTAGGGTTTAGGGTTTAGGGTTTAGGGTTTAGGGTTTAGGGTTAGGGTTTAGGGTTTAGGGTTTAGGGTTTAGGGTTTGATTGTTGTCGCTTCCCTCTGTCTGTCGGACCTCACAGGCAAAGCGCCCACCCCCCCCCCCCCCTGAGAGGGCTTCTGACAGCCCGAATGCAAGAACCGTCTCTTTACTTCAACGCACCTCCACGGCAAAGACCAAGGCGTTACCTGAGAATCAAGCTGCCAAAAGCCACAAAGAGAGCAGATTGAGGGCTTCGATGCCTTGAGATTTTTTATTTTTCTTTGGGGGGGGGGGGGAGGTTTGAATCGAGGGGAGCCCCTGAAAGCCAGCAGATCCGGGCATCCCTCCAACTCTCCAGGCTTTTTTTGAGGGGCCCCCCTTCCTTGGGGGCTTAGGGTTTAGGGGTAGCCTCTTGGGGGCCCAAAGGGCTTTCTCAGGGGGTGTGCTCAGCAGAGCGGCAGAGGATCAGCATGCTCATCATGCAGTCCACCCATGGCATCCTCCCGGGAGCGAACATCTCACCCCTCTGAGCGCCCTCGCCTCTCGAGGGTTTAGGGTTTAGGGTTTAGGGTTTAGGGTTTAGGGTTTAGGGTTTAGGGTTTAGGGTTTAGGGTTTAGGGGTTAGGGTTTAGGGTTTAGGGTTTAGGGTACCACTGGGGGACAAACTGACCAGCACAAGACTCACTCAAAAAGGGCGCGCTGCAACCTGAGACCTTGGGCATGCAACCTGAAAAACCTCCGTTTTGAGGGGTTTTTGAGGGGGTGATCGGGCGGATCGCCAGCAGGTCGCTCTCGCAGTCACTACTACTACTTGCTTAAGAACCCCCAAAAAGAATACCCTTAATCAGGAAGAATCTTTTTTCGGGTTTCTTCAGCCAGTAGTAGACTATGAGCTCACAGAGCAGCACACTTGGACACCGAGGCGGGTCTTGATCCAGCGCCGGAGGCAGGAGCGCAACTGGCCGTCCCACCTCTCAGGAGGATCATGGCTTGCTAAACCCGAGGCCCGAGAAGCCCCAAAAGATTTTATCAACCTCGGGACACCAAAACCCCCTAGAACGCCTAAACCTCTAAACCTTGGGATGTTCTCCCTTATACTAAGAGTCCTGAAACCCTAAACCCCAGAGTTCCAGCCCGCCTCAGAGTCGACGTGGACCGTTGGAGCACGTGGCGCTTGCTGAGCCCCCGCTTCTTCCCCACGTTCCAGGGCTTGGAGATGGAGGCGTTCTGGGTGAACTCCTCGTAGGCCAGTCCCCCCCCCCCACTGCCCCACCCGAAGTAAGGGTTGAGGGTTTAGGGTTTAGGGTTTAGGGTTTAGGGTTTAGGGTTTAGGGTTTAGGGTTTAGGGTTTAGGGTTTAGGGTTTAGGGTTTAGGGTTTAGGGTCCACTCCCCACCCGAAGTAAGGGTTGAGGGTTTAGGGTCTAATTGAAGTTATTCAGAGTTCAGGTCCGGGGAAAGTTTCGAGGAGTTTCGCGGACAGTTTCGAGGAAAGTCTCGTTTTGGGGCTTGTGAATAATTCGCAAGAAGGAGGGCTTTGCAGGGTACCAACATTCCCCCTGAATTCCTTCCGGCGAAAGGCGAAATCATCAGCTCTCACTCCTTCCGTGGCTTCACTGTCCATAAGCCCTAAACCCCTAGCCCCAGAAAAGAAGAAGGAGTACACACTGTACATACATACATACATACATACATGCATACATACATACATACATACATACATACATACATACATACTAGCCGCACACACGCAATTTTTTGGCCCCAGCCCCTTAAGTCCGACCGGGCCACGATCCCTTCGTCGGAGCACGACCTCTGGCGCTGGCGCTCGGCGTGCTCGATCTGCTGCTCGCCCAGTGAGTCGCTCAGGTCACCCGGGGGCACGCCCTCCTTTTGAGATGTGCGGGGGGGGGGGGGAGGGATTGCGTGGACTCAACTCAGGGCTTCTTGGGACTTACCCCCCCTTCAGCCTCCCCCCCCCCCTTCAACCCCCCCCCCACCCCCCTCAAACCCACAAAAAAGGAAGGGATCCCCTCAGAGGCAGAGGCCAAGTGTCCGCGGCTTGCGCATCGATGCTTCGAGCCTTGCTCTGGAGAGCTCGGATCTCAGCCCGGAGCTGCTGGACCTCCATGACGTGGAGGTCGTACACCTGACCCAACCTCAGAGGAAAGGCCTGCTCTTTTGTTGTCTTACCCAAAAAAAGAAGCACCCCAAATAGACGCTGCACTTCGATGACTCAAGTCCCCGGTAGGGTTTTTTTTCTGACAAAGAGAACATGTTAGGAGATGACGAGATACCCGCCTCCTGGGGACGACCGCCCCAGGGCTTTACTTGGTAGCAAACCCCAGACAAACAACTCAATACTTCACTTGCATGCCTCGTTACTACTGATCAAGGGCAAGTGCAGCCTCAACTGTCCGCAACTAGGAGCTTCACCCCTTTCCGGGGGTTGGGTGGGAGGTTTCTCCCAGCGTACCGGGATGAAGCCCAGATCAAAAAGCGCCTCACCGATTGTCTCGTTTCCTAAAAAACATGTCTCTGTTCTGGGTCGGGGCTTTATTTCGAGGCCCGCTAAAGGATGAACTTGTCCATGGCTCATCCCTGCTCTTGCTGGATGGTCATTTCTGCGCGGGTCCGGCTGTGTAAGGCAAAGAACCAAGCAAAACTCATACGGCCATATGGCTTTTCTCAAAAAATCGAACCAGAGTTGGAGCAGCGGACCAACGGAGTTGCTTCAACAACCAACTACTTGGGCCTCACACAGAACACAAGGCAGAAAACAACACATTCATTTATGGCTCACCCTGCCCCACGGGTTGCGACCGTGGATAAACCCAAAACAAGACGCAGGTCAGCCGACCAACGGAGTTGCTTAAACAAGTGTTGCCGTACCCGTTGCAGACTTGGGCGGGCGGATTCACCAGCTTCGTAATACTCAGAGATGGAAGCTGGACTCCTGGACAAAACAGTTGCGGACGTTTAACATGCAAGTACGCGTGGCCGAACCTTTTCCAAGAATGTCTACACAGGCTCACGGGCCCGGCTTGGAGCAACAAAGCTCCACAGCGTTGCAAGAGTTGCGCACGGAAGGCAAATCTCTATCTACGACCAGGGCAGCAGCTGATCGGAAAACGGTACCGAAGATGTTGGGCGCTTGGGCTAGGACGAGGGTTGGGTGAGGCAGCGCACCCTTTTATCGGTTAAATTTGGAGGTTCGGTGGGGAGGTTCGGTAGGGCGCTCCTCTGGATAGGAGGGACCGGGCAGATACGTGAAAATTGAATCTACGAAATGTCTCAACACCTCCAAAGCAAAAGCCACGTAGGTTGCCGAGCAATGTCCATCAAATGGGTACGGCCGCCAAAGACCTAAGACATACCCCGAAACTTTCAAGCGCCGTGGCAACAAATAGTAAGATCTTGCACAGTTGAAACGCATCGGGACAATGCGAGGGGCAGACCTAGGGAGGAAGGCCTGACACGGTTTCCCGAAATATTCAGAGCGCATAGTTTACAAGGCAATATCTATGAACCAACCCCCACTTGAGAAAAAAAACGCTTCGGCGCTGTCCTCAATTTACATCTGCCACCTCCGGCCCTAAACTCACCTGCTTGCATGGACAAGGGTTCGTTCGTGCACTTGCACTTGCACTTGCACTTGCACTTGCACTTGCACTTGCACTTGCACTTGCACTTGCACTTGCACTTGCACTTGCACTTGCAAACACACGCACACACGTATGAGGCTGAGGCAACGTTAACATGGACGGCGCATCTGCAATTGCACCGTAGCAGTCAGCAACGACACGGGGCACATTATTTAGCTGCTCGAGTCAGGTACCCACGCAACCCAACTGCGAACATGATGTGGAGCCAGCACGTGCTCCTGCAAATAATGAACATGAATCGTACGATCGTGTTGGCTCGTTTGTTCTGCAAACTGCTTGGGCTCCGTTTCTACCTTGCAAATGCGTTGCACTTGTCTGTTTAGTTTCTGCGCGTCACGTACAGGCTTTTGATCTTCAAAGCATGTCAGAATCTCACAAAGGCTTGGCTGGCATATTCCAGCAAGCAAGTTTGACTTGAGGGGCGCATAGACTATCGAGATTCCTCAGCTTCCCGCTGACGTTTCCCAGGCACACCCCTGTCTAACGAAACACACACTTTCTGCACAATGGGGGGGGCGATCATCGGAGTGTCAGGAGAAAATGGAACAGAAAGAAAAAATTCTTCCAAAAATGTTCCTGAAACGGCTCCAGGGTGAAGCTAGTATCCGCAACCAAGCCTATACAAATATTAATATTATATATATATATATGTATGTATATATATATATAGTGTCTATCTACGTCCCCCGAAGCTCACGTACGCTGCAGGCCCAAGGCTTCGGATTTTCTGGTCGGTTGCTCTCCGGCGTTGTTTGTTGCCCCCTCAAGCTGCGGTCGCTTTCCGCATCACGGCTTGGACTCGGACCGGCGGCGCGGCAGGCACGTGCAAGCGCTTTACAATAGACAAGACTCTGAGCGCTGAAGGGAGTCTCAAGTGCAGCCTTGAAGCAACTTCTCGAGAGGTTCCTCCTCTGGATCGCGCACGTTTTGCCCTCCGAACACCGGCATCAACGACGCCATGGCAGGTGCCGCGGCTTAGCACTTGTTGTGATGCGGCACGCCAGGGTCACCCCGGGTTTGTGGTTTTCAGGGGTGTCGCGAATTGACCCGTAAGCTTACTAGAAAAGTATGGCCCGCTTGCCCATCATCCTCAAACGGAGTATCGTGCGTTGCCACTTCGAGCTGCGGCAATGATGGCACATGCAAACGCAGTCCCCGCAAGCATGTCATCTGATCGTAGGAAGTCTCACCCTCCCTGGGCTTAAAAAGGTTTTGGGCTTATCGACTTCCCGGATGAGCGCAGAATCCGTACAACGCCCTTTTTTTCTGCTTTTCGCTAGATCTTGTTGCGTGGGTCAGGGATGCCACATCGCCAGTAGATCTGCCTCACCACCTGTGCCATCCGGCATCTAAGACTTCGGCGTCAGGATTTCAGGCATTCGACCAGGTGCAACATTTCTCGGGCCAGCTTGGTTCAGGAGCTCTCAACTCAGGCATTCTCGCAGCAACCGCAGGAATCAGGACTCTACCCCCCAACGACACAAATCCCTTCGAACCCCGCAGTGCACTCCCACAACACTGAAGGCATCATGAAAAAACCCGTAGATCTCCCAAATCCCGGCGACTCCTCGTCGTAGACCTCTTTCGCTTTGGGGGCTGCGGACGGAAACCTCAAGTTTCGCGCCGCTGGCTTCTTGGCTTGGAGCTGGCTTGGGCTTCTTGGCTTGGAACGCTTTGCGGAGAATCAAGGATGAGCCGTCTCAAGTAATCGAGGATGGCCCTCTTGAAACCCTCTGAAAAAATATTCCCTAGAAGATGATCCGCTTAGACCCAATAAGGGAAAATATAGAATGTCCCAAATAACGGCTCGTTGGCCTGAGCACAGGCCCACGGGAGCACCCCAGTCTCAACATCGGGCTGATCTCAGCACAAGCCAGCGCTCTGTTACTCTATACTCGTCCAGACGTATCGAAAACTTCCTACTACTTGAATAAGCCCTAAACCTTAAGCCCTAAACCCTAAAACCCTAAACCCTAAAACCCTAAAACCCTAAATCCTAAATTCCTAAACGCTGCAACCGGCTTGCAGCCAGAAAGCTTATGACCTTCTTCATGCTCCAAGACCACCGGGTCCTGATGCTCCGGGACCGTGGGGCGATGCAAAGGGTGTAGGGCTTCGGGAAAGTCGCCTCGGCCTCGGGCCCAGATGCGTAGCCCTAAACCCTAAACCCTAAACCCTAAACCCTAAACCCTAAACCCTACACCCCTAAACCCTTAAACCCTAAACCCTAAACCCCAAAATTTCTGGTCCACCTACCTTTGGCTCTGCAATCCTGCTGTGGCCTGCCTGTAAGCCGTTCCCACACAGAGCGAAGCCAAAAAACCTGACTTTGCCTCTGTGCCTCGCTGGCCTTGGGACCTGGGATTCCCCTGAAAAAAGAATCTCAGGGACTCAAAACGCAGAAGCCTCCCTTTTGCACGTCCCCCAAACTCACTTATGCCGCTGCTGCCCCGGCTGCCGAGGCTAGAATTCCACTAGGGCTGAATTATGGCTAGGGTTTATTAGAACTAGATTAGGTCTAGTAGGGCTTATGGCTTGGGTTGAATGAGGCGTTTCGGGTTTAGGGCCAAGTGGTTTCCGTTTTCTGCAACGCTCCTTGTAGCTGTTCCCACCGGGGTCACCCTTTCAGTGATGTGCCGCATTGTCATTTCAGTGAGTTTCATGAGGGTCCAGGTTCTGCCAGACCTCACACGGTCATGGTCGACATGTTCACTTCAAGTTTCAAGAGGACATGGGCTACAAACCCCAGTCCTCAGTAGGGAATTCGGGTAGCCCTTGAAGGCAGCTCTCTCCAAAACCAAGAAGAACCAGTTGCGAGGTCAGCTCGTGAAGGGGCATTCAGGGCCCACTCCTGGTACAGGGCCACTTGGCTCGACTTGCCATAGTGGTAGAACTCGTCCTTCCGGGCAGAAGGTGAGAGTTTTGCGTGGGGCTCCTTCCCTCCCCCCCCTCCCTCCCACAAAGCCAGGCCTGAATGAGGGTTCTCCGAATGGTTGCTTCTTTGGGATTTCAGGGCTGGAGCAGAATGCAAATTGAGGACACATGGCCTCAGGCAGACTTCTTAGCACTGATGATGCAGCGATGATCTCGCACGTCCGATTTCGGAACCTGGATCCCTCGGAAAGAGGACTCGCAAGGGGTTTAAGGTGTTTAGGTTTAGGGTTTAGGGTTTAGGGTTTAAAGGGTTTAGGGTTTAGGGGAATAAATATCCTTTCACCCTGAGGTGGGGTGTGTGACGCTCGTAAACCTCACAGTGTGGAGCAGCAACAGAGACGGGCTCGAAAGAGCTTGGACTCCCACACCTCAACCCCAAATCCTGCATGTAAAGGCCCTCCCCCCCCCCCCCCCCCCGCCCGCCACCCGATAAACCCGATACACCCGATCAACCCGATAAACCAAATAAACCCGAAACCCCAAACCCCAAACCCCAAACCCCAAACCCTAAACCCTAAACCCTAAACCCTAAACCCTAAACCCCTTTTGCCGCCTGCTTCCCAAAGACCATCACGCATGGCAGGTCCAAGGGCGTCTCGAAGAGCCTCGAAGCAAAGGCAGCGTTAAAGACTTTCGGAAAAAACAGCTTTGCTATATTTGTTTTGGGGATCTTCTCTTTAGGGGCGGGGCGTTAAGAGGGGTTTTAATGAGGTTTTGGTAGGAAGGTCGGCCATTTTTGGGGGCATTTTAGGTAAGTTCTACTTGTGATTCTGCCTGGCCTCCAGGTTCTGGTTACAGCTCTGCCTCTCATATGTCAGTGCCGCAAACCCTGCGATTTCCAGGGCCATCTGGACGCATGCAAGTATACAGCTCATCACAGCAGTTGCTTAGCTGCCCAACCCAATTCATCTGCTTCTGTCATGGGGGGGGGGGGGGGGGTAGTGCACCATGGCTTCTGGCGGGGTGGCTTTTGCCGGCACAGGCCCGAATCGACAAATGCGTTCATATCGAGCAGCCTCTCATATCTTCGATCACGAACTCGCATGCCATTGAAGAGGATGCTCCTGGGCTTGTCAGAAACGACCCTACATGATGGGTTGGAGGCCTTGGGGGAAAGACCGCTCCGCCCCCTCCCGCCCTGAAGGAAGCAAGATGTCGAAGTCAGGTGCTGGTCGTGCCAAGGCCCAGGCAAGCGCCAAGGAATCTCCTGACCTGCGTGAGAGTGGGGACATAGGGCATCGCAGGGCCACGGCAGAACGCATAGCCGAGCTTCACTTTTTCGGCGTGCTCTTACCGGGAAGGGCGAATGGGGACGAACTCAGAAGCTCCGTAAAGGTGTAATGCAATTGGGACTATCAATATTGCTGATGTCTTGCTATTTCGATGATGGATATGGCCCTTACCTATACTTTCTTACAAATTACCGTTCTCACTATCACACGTCCAGAAGACCGTAAGCCATCGCAAGCCCGCGTTCACTGCAGAATACTTTCTCCCGGACTGCAACTGCAACGAGCTTGTCACCTGCACGTCGTCGAGATTCATTGGGAGCCGATTTGTGGGCAAGGATCGTCCGGGATCGACAAGGGTTCGGTCGGGTTCTGGAATACCAAGCCCTACACACACCATCTTTCCCTCGCCTTTTTCTGTAGAACGCATTGAAGAACCAGCTCTTTGGGTAGAGCAAGATCCCCTTATCTTGTCGACTGGTGCACTACGATGCACTAGGTCACTCCATGAGTCGTCATGTGGAACGAGTGGCAGCAGCTGAAACAGCGTCACAGTGAACCTGCTGACAGGAAATCAATGAACCCATGATGGCGGAAATGAGCCTCTGAGTCTGAGTCACGAGTCCTTGCCCCCGGAGGCTCGTCTGCACGATGGTTGCGCTCTTGCAAGCATCGCTCTACTTCGCTACTTCGCTACGATGCACCCGTCTCCCCGTACTCTGTGCGGTGCTCATGCTCAACCAGATGATTAAGTGTAGGCCTGTAGGTGCACTGCTTGCAATGTGGATGCATTCGCTCAAGGACTGCGTTGTGGACCTCTTCAGTAAAGCTTCGTCTCATGGACGACCATCCGACAAGTTCTTAAATGCGCGACATTTCTTGGACAGCCAGGGCCCGAGATAGTTTCATGGGAACCCGAAGCCCGGAGAAGCTTCAACCCTGTAAGCCCTGAACGCCCAACCGCCCTAGACCCTAAACCCTAAACCCTAAACCCTAAAACCTAAAACCTAAACCCTAAACCCTAAACCCTCTCTTAGGCCAAAAGGAGGGGCTGTCAGGGACCCGGGGACCTCTCCCGCCTTCCCCGCCGAATACCATTCATCTCTTGGAGACGGTGTTCTCACAAGGTTTCACGGAGTATCGAAGCTTTCGGTCCCTAAACCCCAAACCCCAAACCCCAAACCCTAAACCCTAAACCCTAAACCCTAAACCCTAAACCCTAAACCCTAAACCCTAAACCCTAAACCCTAAACCCTAAACCCTGAACCCTGAACCCTGAACCCTGAACCCTAAACCCTAAACCTCTTGGAAACCTCTCCAGGAAACCTCGCCGGAAGGCGGGACATCGTATCCATGGCTTGCGGTTTCAGAGCCTGCCGCCCTTTCGTCCTACACCCTAACACCTTCCCCGTCATTGGGTTTCTCACCAACCACACCTACATGGTTTGCCTGGCTGATAATTATAGGGTCACAACGGGATAAAGCTAAGGCTCAGGGTTTCGGGTTTAAGGCCCATGTCGTTGGGAGGTGAAGACCCCATACAAACTCATAGCTAAACTCCATCTCAACCCCAGCTAGGAAACCCTAATCCCTAAACCCTAAACCCTAAACCCTAATCCCCTAAAACCCTAAACCCCTAAACTAAACCTCAAACCCCAAACCCCAAACCCCAAACCCCAAGCCCCAAACCCCAAACCCCACACCCCAAACCCCAAACCCCAAACCCCAAACCCCAAACCCCAAACCCCAAACCCCAAACCCCAAACCCCAAACCCCAAACCCTAAACCCTAAACCCTAAACCCTAAACCCACCAGCGCGGGACGCTTCAAACGGCCGCTGCTGGCAGCTTCTCCAGCCGCTCCACTCGAAGGACATCTTTCCTCTCAGGATGTCAGGGTTCAGGGTTTAGGGTTTAGGGTTTAGGGTTTGGGGTTTAGGGTGTTTGAGGTTTCTGGTGGTCGGAAGAGTTACTAATATCATTCCCTTAAAACCTGAAATCCCTTCATCATCATACTAGAATAACACCCACCAAAAAAACCTGTTCTCATGATTCCGGCCCTGATATTAGAGGGGTTTAGGGTTTAGGGATCAGTCCTTGCAGCGTCCTAGGGCCAGCAGGGACCAGCGCAAGGATAGCGTTTATACAGGTGTACACATTTCACTTGCACATTACTCCCCCTAAACCCTAAACCCTAAACCCTAAACCCTAAACCCTAAACCCTAAACCCTAAACCCTAAACCCTAAACCCTGATACAACAAGCAAGATATTCCGACATGTCCGGCATGATTCACCTATAGGCCCTCCGTTGAGAGGCATCGGCAACATGCGCATTTGGATGTCGTGAAAGCCTGGAAGGACCGTCTTTTCCTGCCCTTTTTTTGGGGGGCTGTTGGGGGCCGTTGGAGTGAGCTCACTCCACCGCTTGCCGCCGAAGGGCACGATGGTCCACCGGGAGAAGTACAGAAGCAGCGCACACAAGAGCCTGGAAGATAACTCTGACTGCACCGGCTGTTCAAGAAACAGGGGCGCAAAGCATTCTTTTTGTGGGGGTGTGTTCGGTCAGTGGTGCCTTGCGCGGCTTGCTTAGGAGAGGGCTTGTGACCGGCGTGGCCGAAAACAACCCCTTGAAGCCACTTGAACCCTGAACCCTAAACCCTAAACCCGAAACCCGAAACCCTAAACCCTAAACCCTAAACCCCCCTCCCCCCCCACCCCCCACTTGAAGCCCACGATCACCGAGAGGCCAGCAGGCCATGGCCAGGGACAGCGCCAGGCGCCTGCCTAATGCAAGGACCCCCAGCGCGACGACCTCCGGGAGAAGTTCAGAGGGGAGCTTTGGGATGTTCCCCCTTAAGCTAACAGTCCTGAATAGGGATTCTAAGAGGGGGGGGTACTCTAATCCCCATTAAGGACTGTTATGTTATCATGACATTGAGAGTTTGGGATGTTCCCCCCTTTTTCTATCATTCCTTAGTAGGGATTATTCGGGATTATGGTACCCCCCTCCCCCCCCCCCTCCCATATTATAATGCCTGTTAAGGGCCGATGGTATAAGGGGGAACATCTCAATGGAGAGTGCATCATATTTTGGGGTCTCGTGGAGGGAAGAGAAGCTCCTCAAACCCTAAACCCTAAACCCTAAACCCTACACCCTACACCCTACACCCTACACCCTAAACCCTAAACCCTAAACCCTAAACCCTAAACTCTAAAGCCTAAACCCTAAACCCTAAACCCTAAACCCCTAAGAAAGGCTGGCCGAAGCTGCCTCGGGACCTAGGCCTTTGCCCACGTCGTCGGTCAAGGTTACCTTTGCTGGCGGGGATTCCAGCGGAAGGGTTTAGGGTTTAGGGTTTAGGGTTTAGGGTTTAGGGTTTAGGGTTTAGGGTTTAGGGTTTAGGGTTTAGGGTTTAGGGTTTAGGGTTTAGGGTTTAGGGTTTAGGGTTTAGGGTTTAGGGTTTAGGGTTTAGGGCTTAGGGTTTAGGGTTTAGGGTTTAGGGTTTAGAGTTTCAGTGGCTTGAGGGGAATCAGAGATTTTGCAGCCGAGTGGAGTGGGCTTGACCCTACCCACACTCTTAACACTGTCGCACCATCATGATGTAGCAGTGTAGCTCGAACAATAGAACACCATATCAGGGTGTTGAACGGGAGGGGGGGGTCAACCCTATACCCGAAGCCCTAAACCCTAAACCCTAAACCCTAAACCCTAAACCCTATTCCTCACCCTGACGAGTACCAAGCAGCTAAAGCGAAGACGGTGCCTCTGGTTGCCGAGGTATTCACATTCCTCCGCAGGGCTCTCAGGAAAGCACACAGAAAGACTGCGACTGTGACCTAAACCCTAAACCCTAAACCCTAAACCCTAAACCCTAAACCCTAAACCCTAAACCCTAAACCCTAAACCCTAAACCCTAAACCCTAAACCCTAAACCCTAAACCCTAAACCCTAAACCCTAAACCCTAAACCCTGAACCCTAAAAGCTGAACCCAGAAATCACCCCACGGCAGTTCGAACTCTGGTGCCATCCTGAGGCCGGGTCTCGACAGGTATCCCTGAAGAAGTCCCTTGGTGGCCCGCTCTCTACTCCCCCTAGAACCTTAATAAAAACACTATTCTTAGTATCTCGTGGGTTTTATACAAACAAACATAAGTGATCATTTGTTTATATACTCTTGGGCTTTATATAAAAGAAGAAATAGTTCCCAAGGGGGATATAGTGCTCCCTTGCTCTGAGGGTATTTCAATAGCTTGCTTGAGGGTCTCTTGGGGACCCAAAAAGCGGAGAAATGCCCAGGGTGGGCAGAAGGGCCGATCCCATGAGGCCTAGAGCCTACAAAAACAAACAGCTTGAGGGGTTAGGGTTTAGGGTTTAGGGTTTAGGGTTTAGGGTTTAGGGTTTAGGGTTTAGGGTTTAGGGTTTAGGGTTTAGGGTTTGAGGAATTCGAGTCCCAGTTTAGGGGTGTCACTCCATGGGGAGTGGCCCTTCCCAAGCAAGTTGCGAGCAAGTGTCATCAGAAGGCCTTTCAGATTCGGATTTGTCACCTCTTCGGCTTGAGAGCACTGGCCAAACAGGGAGAGCAACTCTATATGAAGTAGGGTATCTATTTCTTGTAGCCCCAAAAGGACACCTGGTATATACACTCACCGAAATGAAATAGGAACCTTATATACACTCACCAATAACAGAAATGTAAACCCTGCTTCATAATATGCTTTCTGCTTTCCGAGGGTGTGGTGCGAGCAAGAGCTTTCCCTCAGTGGCAGGAGCAGTCGAAATTTGTGTATGGGGGGGCGTAGGTTCTTGCATGGTCGGCTGAAGCAAGATCAGGGGCTTTTGCTTCAGCTCCTGCTTAGCAGGAATCTTCCCTAGGGGCATCTCTGGAAGAGCATGCTGGGCCCGGGCGTACATTCACTTGATGGACCCCCAGGGATCATGCCTCTACTTCCTCGACCCGGAGATTTCTTGCAGCAAGACGGGGGAGTCTTGTTTGCAGTATGTAGCCTTCTGCGCAAAAGAGGAACACCACTACACTCCTTCAGGCTCGCGGATCCAAGGTGCCGCCGCCGCGCCACCCAGGAAGGCAACAAAGAGAGCCCAGGCGGAGGGCAGCCCAACTCCTGAACCGAAAACAAAGAATAAACCCTAAACCCTAAACCCTAAACCCTAAACCCTAAACCCTAAACCCTAAACCCTAAACCCTAAACCCTAAACCATAAACCCTAAACCCTAAACCCTAAACCCTAAACGGATTTGGTCTTTTGTTTGTTCATGACGTGGGTGCTGCGCTATGGCTTGCAACTGGGTGCAGGTTTGGGTGCCTTTCCCACAACACCCGTGTCTTTGCGTCTCAGAAACCTCCGAAACCTCGCTCTGACAGCAAAACACAAGACCCCTGAGTTTTGCAATGCGCTGGGCTCTGCACTACCCGAGAGGCGACACCCTAACCCTAAACCCGGGGTTTAAGCTGGGAAAGGCACCTCCATCCGTTGAAGTCGCCTGCCTCGGAGGACGACTCTGTGGAGGTCGGGAATATTTCGGGGATCTTCCCTGAATCCTCACAAGCCTTGCATGCAGGGCCGGGTCTTTAGGACTTAGCAAACTTAAGAAGTTTAAGGATTTCCCGTGTGATTCTTTTGATTCTTGTGATGGTTTCGTACCCACCGTTGCGAGGCCATGCCTCGTCAAACACAGAGGATCTCCCGAAAAGCTTATGACAAAGCGCGGCCGTGGGCTGCAGCCGCGTTTCTCTGTCGACGTTAGTAGAGGGCCAAAGAATGTCGAGCTTCTCAGCGAAGCGGGCCGGAAGAGCGCCAGATGTTGCCGGAAACACGGAAACAGAATAGAAAGAACATGACCCTTACCCCCCCCCACCCTCTTCTTCCCCTCCGAAGAGAAAGACTCAAAACGCTCGAAACCCAGATCCTCCCCCGCCGTCACAAAAGGCTCGATTCCGTCCGGGCCCGAGGACCCCCCCAAGCAGAACCCCAAGGGGAGCCCCCCCCTCAAGCCAACATAGGGTTAAGGGGTTTAGGGTTTAGGGTTTAGGGTTTAGGGTTTAGGGTTTAGGGTTTAGGGTTTAGGGTTTAGGGTGTCCGTGATCACCCAAAACAATCCCTGAGTCATTCCGCTGAACTGTCCGAAAGAGCGCGCAAGGCTCTGGCCGGGATTCCGAACAGTTATAATTTTTGTGATCACCTGTAGGACTTCCAAGAAGAACCTTTAGCTTAGTTGTCCAGTACCTAGGGGTTCTCAAGGTTAACCTTTTTGGGATTCTAAGGGGAATCTACTAACCCAAAAAGGTTAAAGGTTACCTACCCTACTACTAAGTTATAAGTTAAGCAGCGCAAACCATTTTTGACGCACAAAAGAAGCGCCAACAACTTTACAACGTGGAAACTTGGAGACGACTTTGTGGAGTAGAGGAGAAACCCTGGACTTCACAAGACGACAGCAAAAAGTCATGCGCCTGTCAAGACATAGTCTCTGTGAAGCCATTGAATCGTGGTTTGCGTAACAACTGTGTCTTTCTACGCCTTTTTACAGTCTTTCTATGTCTTTTAAAGGTATTTCTATGCCTTTTTACTGTCTTTGCGGTTGTTCAAAATGGCGTCCTTCATGCAAAACACAAGGGCCAGCATTTCTCACGTCGTTGAAGGTCAGGGGAAACATGCCACACCGAACACTTCCCAGTTTGCATCGCCGCCCACGCATCGTGCACAGTTCACAGGATCACCGCAGGTGCAAAGTGACTGTCAACGTTCTATTCTTTTCGTTGTTTCTTTTGGGTGGGGGGGGGGGAGAGGGCTTTTGTCTTTGTGTACAGCCATGAAATGTTAAGATGGGCTTACAACACTGGGACTGGTAAGCATCCCTATGCTTTGCGCGGACTCGGCTGGAAAACACGGGTGCGCCCAGGCTGGGCCCTCCACTTGGTGACTCGGGTAGACCCTGAGAGACACTGAAGCCAAAATGGCCGTGAACCACCACAAAGGTTCGGAAACAGCTACAAAAGGGTTTAATTAGGGTTTAGGGTTTAGGGTTTAGGGTTTAGGGTTTAGGGTTTAGGGTTTAGGGTTTAGGGTCTAGGGTCTAGGGTTTAAGGGGTCCTCGGCCCAGCATCCCTGGGGAGCCCCACTTGAGAGAAGAACTCCCTTACTACTGTCTGCTTAAGAACCCAAAAATAGTAAGCCCTATGTTACCCTTAATAGTGAAGAATATGTTTTTTTTTTTTTTTTGGGGGGGGGGGGGGTTCTTAAGCAATTAGTAGTTTAAGGTCTTCAGCTGCGCGACAGCGCCCCAGGGGAGGAGTTGATCAGCAGCAGAAAGGGGCAGACGGCGAAGGCCGTGCAGCAGGACATCAGGTAGGCCAGGTGCCCTTTGTTGCCTGAGAGCTCTTGGGGTTTTTAGGGTTCGTGGGGTTTAGGGTTTAGGGTTTTGAGGGTTCTTGGGGTTTGAGGGTTCTTGGGGTTTTAGGGGTTTAGGGATTGAGGGTTTAGGGTTTGAACAGCAAGAATGCAACGCAGGACCATCCCTGAGTTCCTAAAGGGCCAAACAAGGTTAAAGGGTCTTAGACTGCCAAGAAAAAACCAAGCTCCCAGTCTTGAAGTGGGCCCAGAAACAAAAGCGGACCTGAACCCTAAACCCTAAACCCTAAACCCTAAACCCTAAACCCTAAACCCTAAACCCTAAACCCTAAACCCTAAACCCTAAACCCTAAACCCTAAACCCTAAACCCTAAACCGCATTCCTCCAAAATCCAGGGGTCGATTGTAGATGCGCTGGCCAAGAGCAGCTCCGCTGAGCGCCCACACCAGGCACCTAAAGTCTGAGTGATCTCGGGGCCTTAACCCTAAATTCTAAACCCTAAACCCTAAACCCTAAACCCTAAACCCTAAACTCTAAACCCTAAACCCTAAAACCCTAAACCCTAAACCCTAAACCCTAAACCCTGAAACCCTGAAACCCTGAAACCCTGAAACCCTAAACCACCTCATGGTTGGGATGATAGTAACATTTACATTTATAATCCTTGTTGGGTTTAAGTTCCCTTAAAAAGTGCAAAAGTTTTGTACCCAACAATGATATAACTATCAAGGGACCATAAGGGGACACGATTCGTAACTACTCCGACCCCTATTTTAGGCTTAGGGCTTAGGGTGTTTATCTAGGACTCAACAGGGTTTGGGAAGGAAGCCTGCCACGTAGAAATGTTGGGGCATCCTAGACGAAGACCAAAGCAGGAAATCCCTCTGATGGAGTTTTGGACTTAACAACAACCTATGGTTGAGTTAAAATGCATGATCACCCACATGCTCTGGAACAAAACTCTGTCCACCCGAAAATGGAGGAGTGGATTGATGGTTCCCGGGTGGATGTCAGCTTAAGTTGAAATTTCAGGCGGCGCAGCTTCTTTGCTAGCCCCCGACTTCGCCCCCCCCCCCCCCCACGCCCCCTCCACGCAATTTCTCAGCATCCCATATGACCAACGCCCGTAGCATAGATGGGGGTTTAGATCTTGTACTTGAAGTCAACGTGCCCCTTAAATGGAATTTTGAAGAGCTGTGGGGATTTGAAGGCAGGGTTCGGGGGTTTAAGGGTTCCGGGCGTAGGCCCTGGATGCGGCCGCCTCACCTTCAGCTGCTAAAACCCTCGAATTCAAAGTATACCCAAATAACGCTACTCTCAAGCCGAATAAGGATAGACATGAAGAATTCCCAAAGTCCTTCGTCAGCCCATCTCGGCGAAGGCGCGAGGCCCCGAAGAAGGAGACCAAGAGCGTGGCGCTCTCCACAGAAAGCCCTCGCCAACTTGAGAGCGCGAGAGGGAGAGCGCGCAAGAGAGAGAGAGAGAGAGGGAGGGAGGGAGGGAGGGAGAGAGGGAGAGAGAGGGAAAGAGGGAGAGAGAGCCAGAGCTGTAGGCCCTTAAACTCTTAACCCTTGACCCTTTACCCTCGCGAGAGAAAGAGAGAGAGAGAGAGAGAGAGAGAGAGAGAGAGAGAGAGAGAGGAGAGAGAGAGAGAGAGAGAGAGAGAGAGAGAGATAGAGAGAGATAGAGAGAGAGAGAGAGATAGAGAGAGAGAGAGAGGAGAGAAAAAAAGAAAAGCCGCAAGCCTTTCAACCCTCTCAAAGGAATTTGGGGGACCCCTGTGGGCTGAGTCCTGGGAGCTTTAGCTAAGGCGGCCCCCGGTTCGGCTCCTAAACCCTAAACCCTAAACCCTAAACCCTAAACCCTAAACCCTAAACCCTCAACCCTCAACCCTAAACCCTAAACCCTAAACCCTAAACCCTCAACCTGAGCAGGGCTCAGAGCCGCTCAGAGCGAGCCCGGCTCTCGCAAGATAGGCCACTCTTCGCTCCAACCTCCCTTAAAGGGGGTTTAGGGTTTAGGGTTTAGGGTTTAGGGTTTAGGGTTTAGGGTTTAGGGTTTAGGGTTTAGGGTTTAGGGTTTAGGGTTTAGGGTTTAGGGTTATGGTTTAGGGTTTTGGGTTTAGGGTTTAGGGTTTAGGGTTTAGGGTTTAGGGTTTAGGGTTTAGGGTTTAGGGTTTAGGGTTTAGGGTTTAGGGTTTAGGGTTTAGGGTTTAGGGTTTAGGGTTTGAGAGGCGAGCTTCAATCGGATTCTGACACAACTTCCGGGTTTCAGTTTGGGTGTTAAGGCCCCCAATTTTTTTTCTCTCACTGAGAGAGTGGCTTTTTTTAAAGGATCGGGGGCCCTTGTCTTTTCCCGGGGCTCTCTTCTTCTTCTCCTTTTTCTTCTCCTTGGGGATGGTTTGGGGGGGGCAAGCCGGCAAGCCCAAGAGGACTCTTCGGCTAGCCCTCCCTCACATGTCTGCGCTGGCTGCTCTGCATAAAAAAGCGCCGGCGGCGGTGGGGGGCTGGCCCCCTGCTTGCAGGTTCAGGGGTACTGAGTCTCTGAGAAGTAAGGAGTTACTATGCTTATGACGGGATTTAGGGGACTGGTTTAACAAGGCATGAGCCTTCAAGTGATAAGAAGTCATGAGCCTTCAAGTGCGCCGTGGATGGACCGGATGGACCGGAGCAATCTTCTGACCTTTTTGGCAGTCTCTTGGCCTTTTCAAACACTTGCAGAATGCCTCCGGCAAAGGTCGAGGCACTAAATCCCGCGAGGCCCCCAAATACTACAACAGGCACCACCTAAATCCTAAACCCTAAACCCTAAACCCTAAACCCTAGACCCTAAACCCTAAACCCTAAACCCTAAACCACTCCTTAAGCTCTAACTCGATCCACTCGATCCACGGGGGCTCCGCGTTCAGAGACAGGCCAGAAGAAACACGGCCCTTCAGAAAAGTGGTACTTGGTTGTGCTGAAAACCCTCTGAACATGACTTATGACACAGAATGCACAGGTTCCCTTCCCAGGAAAAGAAAGGGATAGAAGACCAAATATCCCAGAGCACAACCCAGTTTAACAAAGTTTTAGCAAAGTTTTCTTAGAAAATTTCAGCTCCCCCCTGGATGCTTGGCGGGGGATGCCAGTTTGGGGCATCCCCGAAGCTGGGAAGCGGTGACCGAGATCGCACACCGGAGCACGCCTCAGATTTTGCGGCCTGTTGGCTTCTCTAAAACCTCTACAGAAGGAGCCCCCTCTAAAAAAAGGCCCCCAAAAAAGACCCCCTTGTATGAACCCTACGAAACCCTGTGCACTCTATGAACCCCTCTGAACCCTATTGAACCCCCATGAGAACCCTATGAACCCGCTCAACTGCCGCAAACTCCCCCTGAAACAGGCGACTCTGGCTCTGGCTGATGCTGACCGCCCACGGTTTTGTTGCAAAGTGGCGAAGAGTTCTCAAGAGACATGCGCTCTGGCAGAGTTTGGGGCTGCGTGCGATGTGGGAGTTTAAGGTTGAGGGTTGAGGGTTGAGGGTTTAGGGTTCCAGGGTATCTTTCAGGATCGGCTTCCCCCCCAAATGCAGTTGCCGTGGTCTAGTTGAGGGGCCACCCTTTGCAGGACTTGCTGTGTCTGATAAGGGAAACTTTCGCTGCTTGGCAGGGCCCTGACAGACCTAACATGTCTATTTGGAGGTTCATCGGTACTTATAAGCAGGGTGATAAGTAGGGTAAGTAGGGATATCACCATATTTAAGGGACTTGTAAGTACCCATGAACCTCCAAGTACTCTTCTGTGTGGGTAAGTTGTCGAACCTTCTATGCTGGGCTTCAGCTTTCTGCTCGCGTATGTTCCCGGTGGGCCATCGCATGAAAGAAGGCGTTTAAGCCGGGAAAATTCTGTAGGAACACGTTTTGTTTTGCCGGCTTCAGGACCCCGCCTTTTGGCATCAAGAGCCTGCGCCCTGAACCCAGTTCCCTCCCCAAATCTCCGCAGGCGTTTCACAGGTAGCAAAGATCTTGGGGGCTCTATATGCTGTGGCCCATGGCGTTCTTTAGGCCTTTTTTGAAAGAGGTAAATCCCAGCAGGGTACTCGGATCCTCAAGCCCGAACATGCGCAACTTGCACTACGGAGTGTCGCTCGGACCTAGCCCCATAACCGGCGGAGAGAAAATTGAGATGGCTGCCCCTTTCAAGAGAAAAGTGGCAGGCGATTCGCGCAGGAGAGCCAGCGCCTGCAAGTTGACCGTAGGGCGCAGCTTTCTTGCTCGACTTCGGCTCTAGATATCATTAGATGTATGTAAGCCTTGCATAAGTAAGATACCAGATGTAGGTAAGCCTTGAGTGAAGTAAGAGTTGTGGTCTCTTGCGTCGGTTGCATCTCCGCCTGGTTTGTGACCAGTCCGCTCCGCACTCTCGGATTTGTGAAGCCTTTTTTTCAGGCCTCACAGAACAGATGAACAGATGATTTTGTAAATCTCACGCCTTAGAGCGACTGCTTGCTACGTACTCAGAAGGCGTGAAAGGCGCACCAGACTGGCGGAACCAGGCATGTCGAGGCACACACCGCCAGAAGCTTGGCATATGACCAATTCTCCTTCGGACCTCATGGGATCTCATGGCTGAGAGACTGACTGAGAGACTGAGACAATTGGGGTGTGAGCATTTCGCAAGGTGGCAAGAATGGTGTTCGCCAAGTTGGAGAGCTGCTCGGACTGAGCATTGGTAGTCACAACGCCCAGCAAGCCCGCGACCGATAGCGTGGCGAGCATCCCGCGCAGAGCCTGGGATTCTGCCCTTTGCTCACCTTCGGCAAAGCCCTGCATCACTGGGATTAGCTGCCGCACGACCAGGTCCATGTTCCGAGTACGCTGGATGACCTTTTGTAGAGTTCGAGCAGGAAACTCTTCACTTCTCTGGCTTGTTGCAGTTCTTGAAGCCATAATGAACCCTAACCCTAAACCCTAAACCCTAAATTTTAAACCCTAAACCCTAAACCCTAAACCCTAAACCCTAAACCCTAAACCCTAAACCCTAAACCCTAAACCCTAAACCCTAAACAGTCATACACAGCCATAAGAACCCGAGCCACGTAGGGCAGCAGCGCCGCGCAAAGACGATTGTCGCCTGGGAAGGATTTGCTTTCAAGAGCCAGGAAGTCAGGGGGATGGGTGTTTAGGGTTTAGGGTTTAGGGTTTAGGGTTTAGGGTTTAGGGTTTAGGGTTTAGGGTTTAGGGTTTAGGGTTTAGGGTTTAGGGTTTAGGGTTTAGGGTTTAGGGTTTAGGGTTTAGGGTTTAGGGTTTAGGGTTTAGGGTTTAGGGTTTAGGGTTTAGGGTTAGGTTTAGGGTTTAGGGTTTAGGGTTTAGGGTTTAGGGTTTAGGGTTTAGGGTTTAGGGTTTAGGGTTTAGGGTTTAGGGTTTAGGGTTTAGGGTTTAAGGTTTAGGGTGCTTAAGCGCTTTATGAGCTTCAGGCTTGGCCTATTTGCTCGGAATGGGTGCTTGTTTCATGGGGCATAGGATATGAGGAATCCGCAGTGGCTGTTGCAACCAACCCACAACTCTCGGTTGCTCTACACACCGCGAGCATACAACAAGCCACCACATCCTTTCACATACCCAAAAAAAACCCTAAAACCCTAAAAACCCTAAAACCTTAAAAACCCTAAAACCCTAACACCCTAAAACCCGTGTCTAAAATGGACAGGGGTGCCTGACAAGGCGTCGTGACTTGGAGCATCCTTTGGGTTGGGACAAAAGCCCTGAAACCTGAACCCTAATGCCCTAAAACCCTATTAAACACCCTAAAAAACCCTAAAACCCTTAAACCCCTCATCCCCTAAAACCCCTAAACACCCCCCTCAAAGCCCCCTAAAACCCCCTAAAAAAAACCCCTTAAAACCCCTAAAAAACCACCCAAAAACCCCCTAAAGAGCCGTCCGAGTGGCCCATCTTGCGGAGCTGCAAGCGCTGTCTCTGAGTGAGGTGGCGAGTCGGGCGCTCGTGCGGCATGTGACCTTCGCTCAGGGTTCAGGGTTGAGGGTTGAGGGTTGAGGGTTTAGGGTTTAGGGTTTAGGGGGCTGGGCGTTGAGGGGGGGAGCCAGGATGGGCCTGTCAACCCTGAAACCAAGAGAGGCTCCGAAAGCCCTTAGCTAAGGAATGTACCTTAGATCATACTAGGGGTTCGTAGGCTAGTTAGTTTAAGGGATGTTCGTTAATTAAGGGGTTTTGGACTCTCTGACGTCCCTAAGGGGTTTTGGAGGCTCTGGCCAGGATGGAAGTTGCTTTGAAAGACATTGAAGGTGCGGAGGCAAATGCGAGGCAGGCGGCAGAAGTCGCAGGCGGCACCCAAGGCACATCCTGCGCTGTAGGCCACATGGACGCAAGGCCGCTTGCACCTCGGAACGAACCAACTCAGCACCATGGGGGGTGGGGGGGGGAGATCCTGGCACACTGATACGATGGCTGCCTTTAACCCATTTAGGGATGAGGTTTGTTTTTTGCATTGCTATAATCAAGCCCATTTAGGGTTTTATAACGTGAAAAAAACCATTTCGGGTTTAGGGTTGTTTTAACGCAATAAAAAAGCTCTCAATGCTGACAAGTGGCAGCTCTGGGTGGCCACGACTTCCTGGATTCTCAGCGACCGCCGGTGGCGTCTGTGGGGTCTGCTTCATGTCCTCCACTTCACCCACTTCATCCACCTCATTCACCTCACTCATCGGAGGACTGCGCTTGCATACGAGCCGCCCTGCGTTCTCGACCACCGATGCCACGTAAGCGTTGAGCCTCTCCTCTTGCTGCTTGAGGGAGAGCTCGGGTTCGTCGCCACGGTGCGGCGGGCAGCTTGCTGTGCGGCGGGTCGGAGTCGATGTCGAAGCTTCTGAGACTACTTGAATGAAGGTCGCGCGGTAGCACAACTTCATTTCTTGCCGGTACTCGGAGACGATGGAAGATGGGCTTTGATCCAAAAATAGCTCTCCGGTCGCACCCAAGCATTGCCACCAAAATGCCAGACATGCTGCCCGAAACCCTAAACCCTAAACCCCAAACCCCAAACCCCAAACCCTAAACCCTAAACCCGCATTTCACAGTTCGCAAGAACTCTCCCTGACCTGCCTTGCTCTTTGTGCAGGTAGTCGGGCATGAAAGTAGTGACCTGCAGTACGACCCATCCTTTGTCCAGTTCTGCTCTCCACCCCCAACCGTCCCCCATGATCTGTCATCCCAAGCTGTTGGAGCCATTCAACAAGGAGCCCCCAAAGATGAATCCTTGATAATGCAATTCGTCCTATCAAGGTATCTGACCCACGGACCCCCTTTGGGTTCTGTCGGTTTGCAAGGTTAGAGAAATGATCACTTCGATTTTCGGACCCAGAGATCATATCCCTAGCGCCTCAAGGGGGAGTCGCTGTTCAACGAGGGCGGGGGGGGGATTCCAACAGAGAGGTGCATGGAACGAGCAGGGGTTTGGGTTTAAGGGTTGAGGGCTAGGGTTTGGGGTTGGGGTTTGGGGTTTGGGGTTTGGGGTTTGGGGTTTGGGGTTTGGGGTTTGGGGTTTGGGGTTTGGGGTTTGGGGTTTGGGGTTTAAGGGTTTAAGGGTTTAAGGGTTTAAGGGTTTAGGGTTTAGGGTTCAGCGTTCACTCTGACGAGGGGGATTCGTAGTGGGTGATACAGTCTTGGTGTTCACCACAATCGCGACTAGGGGGCGGGTTCCAAGCGGACAGTCTTGGTGGTGACCTACTTGCATAGGCTCCTGTACTATTTCCCCCTGTGCTGGGTCAAGTTTCTTCTCCTTCTAACCCTAAACCCTAAACCCTAAACCCTAAACCCTAAACCCTAAACCCTAAACCCTAAACCCTAAACCCTAAACCCTAAACCCTAAACCCTAAACCCGCTTTTGTTTGAAGGACCCTCTTTAGCAGAAGCCCACGATCTCCATGTGAGTCCTGATGTCATGAAAGCCTGTGCCCCTTCAGGGCGAAGAGAGCTTCACAGGGTTTACAGGGTCCCTAAAGTTGGTCATGTCCGGGATGTACAGGCCGTTGCTCTGCCACCCCTTACAGTGAAAATAATTATCCCATATCATCAAAGTGCAAAAACGATCCATGATTGACATCCGTCTCTTCAAGAGGACGCTCAGAAAAATTCGTTGGTGAGACTCTGGGAGCAAATGAAGAACTGGAACTCGTTGTTTGTCTTAAACCGGATGCATCATGAGGAGAAGTATGTCCTCCATCAAGAGTGGTCTTTCCTCTGATCCGAACCCGCCGCCCTCCAACCACAAGAGGCGCGGATCCCCGCGGCTGAGCTGAAAAAACTGTTTCCGGTTGAGGAGCAACTTGCTCGACAGCATCATGATCATCGATAGACCGCACGACACGCTGCAAAGCCTCCCCGAACTCTGATTCATACATTCTTGCCGAAATCCATCTCTCCGGAGTGGAAGTCCGACGCGAAGACGATGACGATCTGCAAGACTGATGGTTTTTGATGTTGTGACGATTGTCCCACCGAAACTCCTTTCCACATAGAAGACAGCGAATCAACCCATAAGGCGAGCTCCGAGAAACAGAACAATTCCAAGCAACATGATGCCCATTTGCCATCTTGACGACCCCGTTGAAGAGATCGAGAAGGCGATGCGGATTATGTCGAAAGGAAGGCGTAACAAGCCAATACCTCTGTTCGAGCTGTGCCTGCGTGCATCGGCGGTATGAAATCTTTAATCTTCGATGTTTGGTCTCGCGAACATAGATGCCACATTTACGACACCAAACTCCGCCACCCTGCATAGCAACGATGTGATGCCCATTCTCTAAAATAGCATCCTCGACCACGAGAGATGCCGGTATGGGAACTGCGGAAGCCACGCTGCCAGCGCTGTGAGCTCCAGGCCCAATATCGCCATAAAGATACGACTTAATATGACATTGCCAAATATTGACCAATGTTTGCTGCACCAATATAACATCGGCAGCCAAATCTGCGTCAGCATAACATACGATAGTGGCGTATCGAAAACACGGCTTGGAACGCTGAACCCGCGCTTCAAGATGAGCAATAGGGCCTCGAAGATGTGCGAAATGAGCGCAAGTCCAGGAAACATGACAAACGTCAAGAACGCCCCCAATTGCACAGTCACACTCCGTGCATTGTTTGAGTTTGTGCTGAGAAACCACGTCCCTTGTGAACAATCCGCCACATAGGAGAAGCCTTAAAACGGCAGCCTTCATACGAGCCTGCTCATGTGCCCCAGAACCAGAGTCCATAGGACCAGAATATCCCTCATCCTCCAATTGCCGGAGATAGCACAAAGTGACGTCCTTCAGTACGCCGAGTTCGATCCCCCGAAAAAGCGGACGATCGCGAGAAACTTTCCGCCATTGCTCCAAACGCCAAGTCTCTCTTGTTGTGTGCAACCATTTGCCAAGTTGCGAAGGCTCGAGGTCCAACATTGTCCTCACGACACCCTTGAAGTCATTCATAGCGTCCACCTGCTGTAAACGTGCGACTGGTCCATCCCGGCCCGACGGCTGTTCCAAAAACATACGCTTGACTTTTTGACGAGTGCCTGCAAATTCCATGGAACGCCAAGCCACCAAAAGACCATCCATGACCCTGCTGAAGAAAGGATTGAGTGACGGAGAAGCAACCAAAGTGAAGTAAATACTGGGACTCGCAACATATCTGTCACGACGTAACAAGCATCGCATGACGTCACTTCGCAACCTGGTGAGTGCCGCTTGGTGCTCCTTGGTCTCGCATAAACAATGTGTACCAGTGGCAATGTGTACCAGTGGCAAACGTGTATTGTGTGCGTGTTCTGAGTAAAGCACTAGACCTCTCGTTCCATGCGACAGGAAGGTGACGGGCGCGTTGAACAGTCTGTGACCACTTTTTCATGCGGTTTATTTCCAAATCGGTAGCCGCTTTCTTTCGAGCTGCGCGATAGGCAACCGATCCTCCCATGAGACGAAAAGCGTCGCTGTGCCCAAGGCCTGGAATGCACCCATCCAAAGAAGGATCTCCAAAAGTAAAACTCTTGGTGTGGTTAACCAAACCACCAATGGATCCCACGAAGTCAAGGGAGACAATGTAGGCGGCATTGATAGTATCACGCACTTCAAGTGAAGAGGATCCATCTGTGTTAATTGATATATCATCAGCGTAGCCTCGAGGTCGACATCGAGGGACTCTGTCACTGAGAGATCGCAACCAGATGTTGACGACGCAATTTAGCGCCATCATTGACAAAGGACAACCTTGTAAAATGCCACCATAAACTGTTTGAGGTGCGTCTAGACAGACGCCCAATTTGTACCGTCGCGTCGCCTTACGAAGCATGCCCAGATAGGGCCGCAAGACGCAACCTGGAAGTGACATCCGTCGCAAAATACGCCCAAGCAATTCCCTCGGTATACGATCGAAGGCTTTGGCAAGGTCGAAGGAGATGCCTCCCACGCTGCAAGACTGAGAAGTAGATTCCAGATCCAGACACACTGCGAAAAGCAAAGGCTCAGGGCCACGCCCTTACATGCCTTCATGGGCCCATAGCTCTTGCCACATAGCACCCAACTGTTTGGCACGAATCCGCGCCAAATTCTATAAATACCACCCAATACCGTTATAGGTCTCAGGTCGGTGGGAACTTCTGGAGGCTGTTCGCATTTCGGTATTAGGCTGGTGAAGCCAGAAATTAAACTTTGGGGCCAAGTGCCTCGTTGTTCGATGGTCACCAAGCATTCGCAGAGCTCATCAAAAACCCAAGGAGCAGAACGCACCAAAAACTTCAAGTCCTGAAATTTCCAAGCATCCAGACCTGGACACGAAAGAGGAATCGACAGAATCTCGCTTTTCAGTAATTCCGGCGTCAAGGGGGGCAACTCAGCCGGAGAAGAAGAGATGTACTTCTCATACTTCCGGAAGAATTCGGAATGATCCGGTTCACCGTCCTTGAACAGTTCATTGACAGCACGCCATGCATCGCGAACGGCCTGAAACTGTTGTTGAACGTTGGCGGTACGAGCACCATCAGGACCAGCAAAGCAAAAACCCGAAGAAGACTGTCCATCATTCCGAAGCCAACTATGCTGCGCACGTAGAGAGCTTTGAAGTTTATGCTTCCAAGCCTTGATCCGTTGCTGCTTCTGTTCACGCTGCACCTTGACAATGGCATTTTCAAATAACTGCTGAAGCCGAGCCGCAGAATCATGAGAACAACGGCCGGAAAGCAAGCTGCGAGCCTCCCAATAAGCTTGGTCATCGAGATCATCAAGCGCACGAAAAGCATTTGCCCAAGTGCGCAGCGCCTTCTGACCATAGGGCCGTTTTTGTATCTCCACCATACGACTGCATTGCTTCCAGAGGCGCCTGATAGATAGACAAGCAACCTCACCCCCGCGAGATTGTGGCCACAAAGGCTGAGGATCAATCCGAATCGTGCCTCGCCCTTTCTTAAATTCACCAGACCAACCATTCAGAAAGTAAATGTGTTCAAGATGCTTCTCTGCATAGCCACACCACGCCCGAAAGGCTGTATCCATGTCCCCATGTTCAAGAGCGTGACGAAACAGGGAAGAAATCAAACATGCAGGTCGTTGCAAAGCATTCGGAATACCTTGCAAGGAAAGCTCCCCATATTCTCGATTCCGAGAGACCACCTGTCTGGTGACATCTAAATTGAGAAGACAATTTATTGGGCAATGGTCTGCGAGGCCGTGACGATCACCAACGAAAAACTCGCGAAAAGAAGCCATAAGCATCTGATTGCAAAAAACGTGATCAATGACACTACCAGTGCCTTTATAACATGTAAAAGTCTGCCCCACGCCAGAAACCTCAGCAGCACGGGACCACCCCAATTGAGGAAGGCGCTGCAAAAACTCCGAGTCGCCTACTTCAAGATTGAAATCCCCACCAACCAACGCCGGTAGGCCTCGCGAGGCTGCATCATTAAAGGCTGCCTCAAGGATGGACTGGGTCTGTTTCTTCAATGGAAGACTCCACCTGGAGCCACTGATACCATATACGATGTAGCAAAGGAATTGCTTCTTACCATTGCCCACGTGGATAGAAACACCATGAAGGCGAGCATTGTGAAAATGACGATGACAAGGAGAACCAGCGGACCATTGCAAGGGACGAGCATCCCAAACTGCGCCCTCTCGAACAAGAAAACCAACGCCAGCTTTGGAGTTCGGTGCCCCCCAAAACTTCCGATATTTGGGAAAGGATCCATCCACAATCTTCATAAGCTCGCTCGTGAGATGCGTTTCCGAAAGAACCATCAAATCTGCATCCAAGCTAGTAATAGCTGGACCACGCGTTTTGCCCATGACACCATCCGGGTTCAGAAAACAAATACGAAAACCATGAGAAGAAGTGTTGCCATTGATAATGCGCATGTAAAGATTGACACCCATTGAGAAAGCTCCCATCATGCAATAAGCGTTAACAAGTGAAACCACGTAAGCTTGATCACGAAGTGCGTGACCTGTGAGGCTCCGGGGTGACTCCCGTGGAACCTTCCGCTGGCCTCTTCTCTGCCTCACTGAGAAGACCCTCTTTCGCATCGATATCCATGTTCGTGAAGCCCTCCTTGAAGACCTTGCCCAAGAACTCATTCTGCGCAGACCTTTGAGCCGTAAGCGAGCGCGGAGGTGTCTGAAAAGGGGCCTGAGTGCCCGAAGTCGGGCGGACGCATCACGAGCAAGGCCACGAGCTTGGGCATTAAGCGCTCGAAAACAAATCTGCCGTGGGACACCGCGATGACGAAAGAAGGAGGGTTCATCCCAACCCCTGTTCGTCGAGAGGAAGACCGCATGCCCCTCAGTGATGTATAGGATCTGGACGCCGACCCATTTGAGGTCGTGTAGCAACGCCGCCACACCATGGATTCCAGTGCTGGCATGGATCCCAGACAACTTCCATCTTGCAAGATTACTGAAGTCCTCGAGGTGTTGTGAGCCGCCGCAAAGGCACGCAGCGTCTCAAGAGAGCGAAAACGAATGGCAAACCGCGGCTGAAAGGCCCCCCCTTTCTCAACAACTCCAAAGCAAGTGTCCTTGGCCGCCAGCTTCAAAGCTCCCTGCAAGTCATATCCTTCTGCCAGCCAAAGTAGTTCCATTTCCACACCCTCCTTTGTCTTCATGAAGATCCCTTTTTTCCCGGAATTCTTCAAAAGGATGTCCACATAGTCGCGGTGAACCAAGAAGGAGACGGAGTCGCCCTCACGGGGAAGGATTTCTGCCAGCGTCGCTTCGGGAATATACTGTGTCAATTCTGAAACAATCACGGATGCAGGATGTGGACCAGCCGGCCACCCATGTCTTTCGGGCATCTTTAGGGTCATGCGAGTCATCGTAGTCATCAGCTGGACTTCATTGCCCAACATGCGCTGATGAACTTCTGGTCCAAATCCAACTTGAACAAGGAAGCGCTCCACCTGAGTGGTAACCCTCTCTCCATCGTTTGCCATGACAGAGATCCCGCAGCGAATGGCTTGTCGAGGATAGCCACGTAACCCCAGGGAATCAGGGGATTGCGTGACCACTATGGCCACGGGCTGAGCAGTAAAACCTATGCGCTGAACAACGTCAGCAACATGAGCACGTGGAACATAGGCTATACCTCCTTGGCGTCCCAATGTTTGGTGCATGTGTACTGGAACGGGCCACTCTTCCTGCAATAGAGTGGTTTGCATACGGATTCTTGCCGCATCTGGCAAAACCGATTCCACCGCCACAGCAACATCATGCGCATCATCTTGAGATGTCGGAGTGGTAAAAGGAGCCCTTTCAGCAGGAGTTGATGACTTGGATTTGCCCTTCTCAACAGCTTTGCCGCCGGCTTTACCCTTACCCTTGGAAGGCTTCCCCATATTGCCATGAACAATGTGCATGAGCTTGTTCCAAAGTGTCATGACACATAGCCATACCAAACATGCGCCAAAATAGGCAATCATCAAAGCACCAAAAAGGGTACTGTGTGCTGAGTTGTTCACAACCCACTGAGTTGCGCCACAAAGGCATGACGTGCACCGACGCACCTCGTTGGTCAACATCATCACCCCCGGTATGCACGTCGTTGACCAAGTCGAAGGTGCCGGGGGGTTTACAGGGTCCCTAAACCCTAAACCCTAAACCCTAAACCCTAAACCCTAAACCCTAAACCCTAAACCCTAAACCCTAAACCCTAAACCCTAAACCCTAAACCCTAAACCGGTTTACAGGGTTCGCTTTTCGGGGGGTTTTTGAGGGCCTCATTTCGGGTTTTGGGGGGGGGTGTCTTGTGGGCCGAGAGCACCGTCGACCACGCGATGCAGCCGGGGACAGCCTTGCAGCCAGGAAGGGAGAAGACTTCCGCAACAGCGGATGCATCTGCGGATCTCTGTCTCTGGGGAGTTTAGACTTGCGCGCCTGAGCTTTGCGGGCGCTTGCGCTCTTGCGTCTGTGTGTGTGCGCGCGCACGCGCATGCGTGTGCGTGCGGGCGGGCGTGCTTGCGTGCATGCATGCGCACGCACTTGCATGTGCGTGCGCTTGTCATGTGCGCGCGCTTGTGCATGTGCACGTGTGTGTGTGTGGGCGCGTGTGCCCCTACACAGGGAGAACGAAACAAGCTCCCACAAACCCTACAGACCCTAATCCCCCTACATTTCATCCGGGCCCAAACTCTCTGATTCCCGTGCATGTGCCAAGGGTTAAATCTCTGAAGTTGGGGTCCCTTCGGGTTAGGGTTTAGGGTTTAGGCTTTAGGGTTTAAGGTTTCGGGGGGCTTTGGGGTTCTACTCTTCAAGAGGGCGCAGCGCATATTCGACACCCTCACCAACATTCATCAGGTACCCAGAATGCACTCACCCTAAGGCCATTGAAAAGAAATACACTTCCCTCGTGTGATGAGATGCGAAGTTGGTGGAGGCGGGGCAGCGCCCACAGACAAACCTGGACATCCCCCCCCAACACCCCTAAACCCTAAACCCTAGGACCCTAGACCCTAAACCCTAAACCCTAAACCCTAAAACCCTAAAACCCTAAAACCCTAAAACCCTAAAACCCTAAACCCTAAACCCTAAACCCTAAACCCTAAACCCTAAACCCTAAACCCTAAACCCTAAACCCTAAACCCTAAACCCTAAACCCTAAACCCATGCCCCCTCCCCCTCCCAACATCCTCAAGCAGAGGCCCGAAACCAAGAATCAGGTGAGTCGAAGACCCGTTCCCTCCTTCGAAAACTCTCCCACCAATAGCATGCCCGGAGCTGTTTAGGGTTTAGGGTTTAGGGTTTAGGGTTTAGGGTTTAGGGTTTAGGGTTTAGGGTTTAGGGTTTAGGGTTTAGGGTTTAGGGTTTAGGGTTTAGGTTTAAGGGTTTAGGGTTTAGGGTTTAGGGTTTAGGGTTTAGGGTTTAGGGTTTAGGGTTTAGGGTTTAGGGTTTAGGGTTTAGGGTTTAGGGTTTAGGGTTTAGGGTTTAGGGTTTAGGGTTTAGGGTTTAGGGTTTGCTGGATCAGAGCTTAGGGTCGTAGTGGCAAAGTAGTAAGCCCAGCCATCACTTCACCCAACCGCCTGGCACAAGAAAATCCGGTTCGATCGACCTGTCGCGTCGGGTGCTTCAGGCTTGCGTCTGGAGTCTGCATTCTGGGGCGAATAGATAAATAAGCAAATAATGTATGTACATATATATATATATAGGTATTGATATTTGCCCTACAAACCCCCTCCCCCCACCACGTTTTAGAAAACCAAAAAAACTGCAGTCCCCCTGTTTCAGCCCTGCCAAACCCTGTGCTTTCATAGAAATTGAGCTCCCGACCTCGCCAAACCAATCCGAATCGGCTGCAGTCGGTCACGGCCTTGGTGTGGGGCGCGAGCCCCCTGAACCTTGCAGCCCCAAACCCCAAACCCTAAACCCTAAACTCTAAACCCTAAACCCTCAGCCCCAAACCCTCAACCCTAGTAAAACCCTCAACTCTTAGGAATGGATATTGGAGGGTCTTACCTGGTGGTGGTGCCCTCCATGACCCTAAACCGTAAACCCTAAACCCTAAACCCTAAACCCTAAACCCTAAACCCTAAACCCTAAACCCTAAACCCTAAACCCTAAACCCTAAACACAATCAGTTTCCTGGGGCCCCCGTCGGCGTGAGGGTCCATGGCCTGCAGCGAGCCAAGGTCTAACAAAAGATGATTAGAAGGGTTTAGGGTTTAGGGGTTTAGGGGTTTAGGGGTTTAGGGGTTTAGGGGTTTAGGGGTTTAGGGGTTTAGGGGTTTAGGGGTTTAGGGGTTTAGGGTTTAGGGGTTTAGGGGTTTAGGGGTTTAGGGGTTTAGGGGTTTAGGGGTTTAGGGGTTTAGGGGTTTAGGGGTTTGGGGTTTAGGGGTTTTAGGGGTAGGGGTTAGGGGTTTTTGAGGGGTTGAGGGGTTGAGGGGTTGAGGGGTTTGAGGGGTTTGGTTTATGTTAGGGGTTTGATTGAGGGTTTGAGGGGTGAGGGGGTGAGGGGTTGAGGGGTTGAGGGGGGGGGGTTAGGGTTGAGGGTTGAGGGGTTGAGGGGTGAGTTGAGGGGTTGGGGGTTGAGGGGTTGAGGGGTTGGGGGTTTGGGTTTGTGGGTTTTGAGGGGTTGAGGGGTTGGGGTTGAGGGGGTTGAGGGGTTGAGGGGTTTGGGGTTGAGGGGTTGAGGGGTTGAGGGGTTTGAGGGGGGTTGAGGGGTTGGGGGTTGGGGTGAGGGGTTGAGGGGTTGAGGGGTTGAGGGGTTGGGGGTTGAGGGGTTGAGGGGTTGAGGGGTTGAGGGGTTGAGGGGTTGAGGGGTTGAGGGGTTGAGGGGTTGAGGGGTTGAGGGGTTGAGGGGTTGAGGGGTTGAGGGTTTGGGAAGCGAGTGATTCTTCCGAAATACCAAATGTGCAAGCATCAATGTTTGTTGTGGTGTTTTTTGGGTGGGCATTGTTCCTGTGAATTTACCAGTGATGCAGAAAGGTTGGTGCAGACCGTCGTGTCAATGCGGCCCTGCGAAGAGTTTGGAAGGCGACAATACGCTCAGCTTTTTCTGAAGCCTACAATCTTCTCACCTTTACAAAGGGCAGCTTTTCTGAAGCCTGACAATCTTCTCACCTTGAAAACACCCTAAACCCTAAACCCCTAAACCCCTCTAAACCCCTAAACCCCTCCCCTACACCCCTACACCCCTAAACCCCGAAACCCCTTACCCCTAAACCCCTTAAACCCCTAAACCCCAACCCCTAAGCCCTAAACCCTAAAAGCTGCAGTCGGGGGCGCCGCCGCGAGGTCGCTGTCCGATGCTGCCGCGGAAGCGCTGCGCTTGAGCTCCGTGCCGTGGCCTTGGGAGTTATCGTTTCTTCCCTCTGTGGGGTGGGCTAAGGATTGGGGTTTGGGGTTTAGGGTTTAGGGTTTAGGGTTTAGGGTTTAGGGTTTGGGGTTTGGGGTTTAGGGTTTAGGGTGGAGGGTTTAGGGTTGAGGGGTCAAAGGCGCGTGACGAGGATGGCGGGCTTTAGAGCTCATGCAAATGAAGCGGCCAAAGCAAAGCGAGACGAATGACAAAGACTTGCAATTGAATAACACCCATCTAATCCATGAAAGGCGTTCGTACGAAGTCGCAGCACATCAGAGCATTTAAGGTCACCTAGCAAGGTTCTCAATTGGGGAGGCCCATCTCAACCCTGAACCCTAAACCCTAAACCCTAAAGCCCTAAATTACCCCGAAACCCCTAAACCCATAAACCCCGAAACCCCGAAACCCCGAAACCCCGAAACCCCTAAACCCCTAAACCCCTAAACCCCTAAACCCCTAAACCCCTAAACCCCTAAACGCCTAAACCCCTAAACCCCTAAACCCCCAAACCCCAAACCCCAAACTGAAACCCTAAACCCCCGACGAAATGCAGAGGCCCCCGGCTGGGATTGCGCTCCGGGTTGCGCTCGTAAACTTCGGAGACCGGCGCATCAGCCTGGCAGTGAAGCCAGAACGAACGCAGAGTGAACCCGGTAGGGTTTAGGGTTTAGGGTTTAGGGTTTAGGGTTTAGGGTTTAGGGTTTAGGGTTTAGGGTTTAGGGTTTAGGGTTTAGGGTTTAGGGTTTAGGGTTTAGGGTTTAGGGTTTAGGGTCTAGGGTTTAGGGTTTAGGGTTTAGGGTTTAGGGTCTAGGGTTTAGGGTTTAGGGTTTAGGGTTTGGGGTTTGGGGTTTGGGGTTTAGGGTTTAGGGTTCAGGGTGTAGGGTTTAGGGTTCAGGGTGTAGGGTTTGGGGTTCAGGGCTCAGGATTTAGGGGTTAGGGTCCAGGGCTTAGGGTGTCAAGGGACAGACAGCCCCTTTCTCACTGCGACTTCTGCCTGCAGCTCCACCTCGGCAGTGTAGGCTTCCGTGGAGCTGCTCGATCCTGCGCTGGCCTCCAAGGGCGACATGCCTACTACAGGGGTCGGAAAAATCACAAATAATACGAATATGATTAATATTACGAATACTAATAATATTAACCATGTAACTCTTATAAAATAGTATATTCCCTGAGGGTCCCTTTTGCGATTGTACTGTCATAAACCCCCCCCCCAAAAACCCTATTCTAATCGTTAAGGCGCCTCTATTCCGTCCTTCCTGAAAGAAGGGGCATTATCTTGGCATGTTTCCCCCTGAGACTAACAGTCCGCGCATCCGCACACACCATCGATGGAAGAGGATGCTTCCACTGGTTCTCGAAGCTCCGGAAGACCGACGCGTCCAAGTCCAAAAACAAGTCGGCAACAACTCAACGATAAAAACTGGCCGAAGCAACCCTGCCTGACCGAATGAAGCCCGCACCCCGTACTCCCCTCTGCAACAACCCTTACAAGAAATATACATATTCATAGACATATTTATAAAGAGAGAGAGAGAGAGAGAGAGAGACCGCGAACCCTTTTGGGGGTTCATTTTGTCCCCAAGCTGGACCCAATTTGCTTGGGCTCAGGGCGTTTTTTCCCTAAACCCTAAACCCTAGACCCGAAACCCTAACCCCCAAGCCCGCAAAGCTTTGAACCCTCAGCGCTGTTGCTCCTTGGGACTCAGGTGGCTGAGCTCGATCCCCTCCTGCGGAGCGAGGCGACACGCTGGAGTGGCCGAAGCAGTTTCGGGTTTAGGGTTTAGGGTTTAGGGTTTAGGGTTTAGGGTTTAGGGTTTAGGGTTTAGGGTTTAGGGTTTAGGGTTTAGGGTTTAGGGTTTAGGGTTTAGGGTTTAGGGTTTAGAAGTTAGGGTTTAAGGTTTAGGGTTTAGGGTTGAGGGCCATACCAGCTTAGGGTTGATATGGAGCTCCGGGTTTAGGGTTCCTCGTATGGTTCTTTAGGGTGGATGCCCAAAGAGGGGCCCCAAGTTCGGTAAGCGACCAGCTTGGACAGCTCGTCTTTCAGGGGGGGGGGGGGGCCCTTTTCGTGGCCTTCGCTGATGCTTGGTGCTGGCTTGCCCTCACATCCTGAAAAGAACAACCATCACCGTCAAGATAAGCCTCATAACATCACCAAGCATAGCCATTTGAATATGCGCACGGATGCTAAAGCTTCTTCAATGCCACCATGATCACAAGAATTCTACGACGCAACAACAATGACAACTCCCATGGTCCTCAGTGGTTTGCCGCTTTCGAGGGTCGGGGACTGTTGCCTGGAACACAGCAGAAGTTCACAACCCCCCGGCTGGACCCTGCAACCCTAAACCCTAAACCTAAACCCTAAACCCTAAACCCTAAACCCTAAACCCTAAACCCTAAACCCTAAACCCTAAACCCTAAACCCTAAACCCTAAACCCTAAACCCTAAACCCTAAACCCCAAACCCCTAAACCCTAACCCCTGAACCCTAAACCCTAAACCGTAAACCCTAAACTCTAAACCCTAAACCCTAAAGCTCAACCTTCGCTTGCTTTACGGGAGAGCTGGAAGGGGTTCGAGAAAAAAAACACTCGGGCGAAAATCCCGGAAGCCACTGAGAACCCCTACAGCGACTTGTAGAATCTTTCAAGAGGGTGTTTCCGATACCGACCTAAACCCTTATAAATCCCAAACTCTAAGCCGTAAACCGAATAGGGCTGGAGACAGAGGGGAGGGGAGGGGTATGTGCCGCCCAGTTTCCCAGAGGAGGATGGCGAAGAAGATCGCTGGATACGCTACCTGGATCATAAAACTAGTCCTTAAAAAGAGGGTGCCTAAATCCTGTATCGTTTTGATTTTCGGCAAGCTGCAGGATATTTGGAGCCCCCAACCGCTGCCGACATTCTGCCTTTGCCTTGTCTTCCCTGTGGCTGGTACGGAATCCCCTAAGCAGGGCTCGGAAAGAACTATGTAACTCCAATAAGGTGAAACGCCGGGATGTCGGCTCTCCCGCATTGGGCCCGCAGGACGGGACACACCTTGATGTTGCTGCTGTGGCCACTGGATTCTTCACAGGGTGGTGCAATGGGGGCACCACGCTGAAAAAGATAGAGAGAGAGAGAGACAGGGGGAGAGACGAACATCTTGTGCAACATGTGCAGCAGCAAAACATGTTCTGTACACCATGAGAGAGTGAGAGAAGAGCGTGAGAGCGAGATTGAGAGAGAGAGAGAGAGAGAGAGAGAGGGGGACAACAACGAGGTGCGCTTTAGTCCAAGGGGCAGCCACAAAAGGCGTCCGCCAGCCCAGGCGCGGACCCAGGAAGCCGGCAAGGAGCTGGCCTCTCCAAACGCCCATTGGGGGGGGGGGGCGCTCTCAAGGGGTTTCCAAAGTACATATGGAGGGCTTACGAAACAAGGGACCCCGAATATAGACCCCCAAATAGTAGGATCCCCTTCTACTAAGGATCCCAACAAGGTACCCCGAATATCGTAACCTTCCACATGGACCACTTTGGACTTTCAGGGCTTTCATGGATCCTTCACGGCTGAAGAACAAGCGTTGGATAGGTGGGTGGTGCTACCTGCAGCCACAGCTGGCTCCTTGCTTGCAGCCCTCGCGCCTATGGCAACGCCCACGGAGGTGGCAACGCCCATCGCCTCAGATGCCGGAGAACCCCTGGTTTGAAGGATTTAGAGTTTAGGGCCCGGGGTTTTGGGTTCAAGGTTTTTGTTTTTTAATAGGGGAGGTTGATTCCCCTGTAAACCTCTGTGTAGGGTTTAGGGGTGTAGGGTTTAAGGTTTAGGAGACAGGGTTTAGGGTTTAAGGTTTAAGGCTGAGGGGTTCTAGGGTTTAGGGTTTAGGGTTGGAGGGTTTAGGGTTTAGGGTTTAGGGTTTAGGGTTCAGGGTTCAGGGTTCAGGGTTCAGGGTTTAGGGTTTAGGGTTTAGGGTTTAGGGTTTAGGGTTTAGGGTTTAGGGTTTAGGGTTTAGGGTTTAGGGTTTAGGGTTTAGGGTTTAGGGTTTGAAGGGTTTAGGGTTTAGGGTTTAGGGTTTAGGGTTTAGGGTTTAGGGTTTAGGGTTTAGGGTTTAGGGTTTAGGGGCCCCCATTATTCTTCTCTGAGCTGCGGCGGAGATGATCCCGCGCTGCTCCGCTGCACAGAGGTCTCCGCCTCGGAGCCAGGGCTTACCCCCAGACTCTGGGCAAGATCCCAAAAAGTAGAACCTTCAGATCGTGCCCTATTCGGGTTTGGGGTTTAGGGTTTAGGGGTTGAGGGTTTAGGGTTGAAAAGATCCAAAAAGAACCTTCAAACCTTCAAATGGTGCTCTGTTAGGGTTTGGGGTTTAGGGTTTAGGGGTTTAGGGTTCAACCAAACCTACCCCTGTTCAGGAGCCCATCGGAAACCTGGACACTGCGAGCTTCAACATCCCAGCCGCAGAGTGAGTAAAGCAGCGGGAAAGAGCCGCCCACCGAGATTCCTGCAAGATCTTAGGGTTTCGGGTTTAGGGTTTAGGGTTTAGGGTTTAGGGCTGAGGGTAACCTTCAGGCCGCAGTCCCTTTAAAAAAAAGAAGATCACCCTCTCAGCCCCTTAACCCCGCACTTCCTAGAGTGGAGGTTGAGGTGCCTCGCTCAGAACCCCGGCTCCCCCTTGAGCTATCCTTTTTACAAAGCCCTTGGCTTTCTGAGCTGCCCCTGAAAGCCCACTGAGGCCCCCTAAACCCGAAACCCAAACCTAAACCCTGAACCCTGAACCCTGAACCCTGAACCCTGAACCCTGAACCCTGAACCCTGAACCCTAAACCCTAAACCCTAAACCCTAAACCCTAAACCCTAAACCCTAAACCCTAAACCCTAAACCCTAAACCCTAAACCCTAAACCCTAAACGAAGGAGGGGGGGAGAGGGTGGCTCCTGTCAGCACACGGCAGAGCAAGTACCACCTCAGGGTTCATCACTTATTACAACAGAGGGTTCTCTCCTTAATCGGGATTACAATAGAGGGTACTATCATCTCTATTAAGGACTGTTAGTATAGGGGGGAGCATCCCAAGTTCTCACCCCCCAAAGGCCCCCAAAAAGACGCTTGGAGCTTGGATGCGTTGTCGCTGTGAATGGGTTCAAGTGGCTTCAGAAGTGTCGCATCTTAAGAGGTGGGGAGGGGTCGGCGTCCTACCCTCAACCCTCAACCCCCTAAGCCCTGAACCCCAAACCCTAAACCCGAAACCCTGACAAACCCCACACCCTCCCTGAGACCGATACCAAACCCCCCGCCCAAAAAAACAAAAAAAATATACTTATTTTACTTCGAACATCCCCACCCTCTCTTGGTACAGATACTCTGGGGTTGGGCACTCCAGGGATACTCTGGGGACACTCTAGGGTTGGGCATTCCAGGAAGAGTCTGAGGTTGGGCACTCCAGGGATGCGCGAGGAGTAGACCGGGCGAGGAGAAGAGTTGAGTTTAAAAATCTAACAACCCCACACCGAGGGTGGGAAAAAAACCATAAACCCCCCAAAAAAACCTCTAAACCCAAAAAACCTCTAAACCCTATAAACCCTGAGTTTTAAAACCTGACAGCCCCACCCCGAGGGTGGGGAAATAGCGCCAGGAGGCAGGAAGCCGTTGGAGCCGGAAGGGATGTACCTCCAGCTGCATAGCTGAGTAGAGGGCTTGGGGTTTGCAGGGCTTGGGGTTTGGGGTTTCGGATTTTAGGGTTTAGAGTTTAGGGTTTAGGGTTTGGGGTTTAGGGTTTGGGGTTTCGTGTATTGGGGTAGCAAGATGTTGTGGGAGGGGGGGTGGGCTTCCAAACCAGCAGGTCTTCTAGGGTTTCGGGCTTCTAGGCCCCGAGGCTTGCGGGCTCAACCCAAAACCCTAAACCCCAAACCCCAAACCCCAAACCCCAAACCCCAAACCCTAAACCCTAATCTGGCCCACAACTCCAAGACTGCGCTTGAGGCGCTTGATCAGCGCGCAGGGGACGGAGCCGAGGATCACCACCAGAAGCAGCAGGTTGACCTGTGTTTCATGGGTTATCCCCCAGAAGTAAGGCGATTTGGCCTAGTTGAGTTAATTTGGCGGGGAACCTTGGGGGGGAGGGGGGGGGGGTAGAGAGGAAGGGTAGTAGGGGAACCCATCTGTGTTTCACTGCTTCTTCGGGGGTGGCGGGGCAGAGGCCCCTCAGCCCTACATCCTGAACCCGAAGCCTTGAGTCCTACAAACCCTAAGTGCCATAAGCTTCCACTAAAGCTACCTGCAAATCCAAAATAGCGCACAAAACCCTGAAAACCCTTACTATACCTACCAAGCTCATAACCCTACTAAACCCTACAAAATCCTACTTGCTAGAAACGACAACTAGGATGGCCCTCTTAAACTCCATCAGGGAAAATATGAGATGTCCCAAGGGCCTACCCCACAACCTTAAACCCTAAACCCTAAACCTTGAGCCCTCAACCTCCTGTTCACCCTCTTGATTCCTCGCCAAGGGCACTCGGTTCATCCGATCCGCAAGCGGCCCAAGAGCCAAGCTGGTAATGCCTCCAGGGTTTAGGGTCTAGGGTTTAGGGTGCAGGGTTTGGGGTTTAGGGTTGAGGGTTTAGGGTGCAGGGTTTGGGGTTTAGGGTTTAGGGTGCAGGGTTTTGGGGTTTAGGGTTTAGGGTGTAGGGTGCCTGTGTGAGGGTTGCGGGTTTGAGGTGGCGGGGTTTCGGTCTATTTGGGTGCAGGCGATGAAGGGATATCATTTGGATTTATGGGGATTTTCCTCCGTAATTGAGTTTCAAGCTCCTTCCCACAAGCTTCCCCCACACAATCGCTGTGCTAGGGGCCCTTGGGCTTCAAGCCCAAAGATTCTCAAAAATCACAGAACCTTAAGCCCTAAACCCTAATCCCTAAAACCCCAAACCCTAAACCCTACTCCCGAAACCCTGAACCCTGAACCCTGAACCCAAAACCCTAAACCCTAAACCCTAAACCCTAAACCCTAAACCCTAAACCCTAAAACCCTAAACCCTAAAACCCTAAACCCTAAAACCCTAAACCCTAAACCCCGAACCCGAACCCGAATCCCTGAACCCTCACTCCCATGCACGCGCCAAGCTGGTGGCCCCCCAGCCTCCAACGAAAAAGAAGCCTCGGGGCTCAAAGGCAAGATCTAGGGTTTAGGGTTTAGGGTTTAGGGTTTAGGGTTTAGGGTTTAGGGTTTAGGGTTTAGGGTTTAGGGTTTAGGGTTTAGGGTTTAGGGTTTAGGGTTTAGGGTTTAGGGTTTAGGGTTTAGGGTTTAGGGTTTAGGGTTTCGGGTTAGGGTTTAGGGTTTAGGGTTTAGGGTTTAGGGTTTAGGGTTTAGGGTTTAGGGTTTAGGGTTTAGGGTTTAGGGTTTAGGGTTTAGGGTTTAGGGTTTAGGGTTTAGGGTTTAGGTTGAGGGTTTTGGGGTTCAAGGCTTGCTGTGATATGGCGCAGAAGCTGTGAAGGGTTGGGATGCAGACCCTTCGTGAGATGCGAAGAGCAGCCAGGGCCCAATTGTGGAGGGTCATCTACCGCTTGTATCCCACCCCACGCCGTCTCAGGCGGCCATTCCTTGTTAGGGTTTAGGCTGAAAACCCTAAACCCTAAACCACAAACCCTAAGCCAGTTCTCGGTGGGGTTCCCGCGACATCCCAAAGGAGAGTTCAGGGGGGTCGTGGGGTGGTTTCAGGCCCTGAGTCTAGGGTGCTCGGCCTCGCACAGAGGGCAACTCAGAAACACGCAACAAGGCGCCAACGACTTCGCAGCAAACCCCAGCCGGAAACCTTAGACCCCAAGCCTTACAAACCTTAAACCCTAAACCTTGAACCCCAAAACCCTCAAAAACCCTCCGAAAAGCTCCGAACCCTAGCTGCAGCGTCCCTAGAAATCTCAGGGTGGTAGTCGGGTGGCCCAGCTGGACCTGGCCCCCCAGCTTCGAATCCTTCTCCAGTGGGCTGAGCTCGAACTCATCGGCAATGGCACTCCTCTTGCGCTCTCTCTCGTGTGGCTTTTCATGCCGGTGGTGGTGATGGTTTTGGGTTCAGGGCCTGAAAAAAAGAAGAGGGGCTTCTGGCAAGGGAAGGGGGGGGGTTTCGGGGGGAGAGTTTAGGGTGTTCTCTGACCTTTTCTGGGCTTCTGGAGGCTTGATTGCTGAGCTGAGCGTCAGGTTCGGCGCCGCCAGGTTCTGATCCGCATGGAGGCACATGGCCACAATCAGCAGCAGCCCGAGCGTGTACCTCTCGCAGGCTCCCCTACAAACACTCAAGGGGCCCCTCAAACGTAATATAGGGGCCTGAAAAATAGTTAAATAAGCCCCACGGCCTTCTCCTGAAGCCTCCGAGCTTTGCAGCCTCTACAAAGTTTGATGCAGCTCTCTCTGTCCACAAACCGGCAGAGCAATGGACTCCGTGCTTTAGGCGGGGGAGAGGAGAGCTTAGCACAGGGATCGCTTTGTGGCTGTGACCCTTCAGCAACCTCAACCCCTTTTTTTCTTGCTTTGCATACAGCAACGATGCGACGCAATATGCATTCCCCGCCTCTTGCGAGTTTCTAGTGCCGCTGAGGTGACAGCCGAGAAGCGCCAAAAGCCGCTAAACCGCTAAAGGCCACAAACAAAACTCGAGGGGCTAGAGGGGGGGTTGGAGGGTTTAGGGTTTAGGGTTTAGGGTTTCGGGCTTTCGTCGCCCCCTCTTTCAACCCCCGCCGAAACGCTTCAAACCCTGAACCCTAAACCCTAAACCCTAAACCCTAAATGCTGTATGAACCCGCCCTCTGGAGCCCTAAACACCTAAACCCCAAACCCTGGACCCTAAACCCTACGTAAACCCTCTACAAACCCTCCACAAACACCATAACATAGGGGCCTGGATAATTAGAATAGGGTTTTGGGGGGTTATTGTAGTATGACTCCAAAGGGACCATAAGGGAGTACTATGAGCAATTATTGCAAGCCCTATGTGAACCATAAACCCCCTAAAACCCAAAACCCTAAACCCGAAACCCGAAA